CTGGGTGACTGGCTGGGGTAAGAAACTGATGTCAGCAGCTTTTTTTTCAACAGTCCCCAAAAGTCCAGACCCCGTATTACCTGCATGAAAAAGCAGTGCTGTGAAATCTCACGGGTGGGTATGCAATGCGTGGTGAGTCAGTCGCTGAATGCAAGGGAGATGATAAATTTCACCCTGGCCTTGCAGAAGGTCTTTGCCTTCAGCCAGCAGATTTTCCTGCCACCCCAGAGTGATTTTAATACGTCAGTTTTCCCTCTGGCTAGCTCACCAGCTCTGGCACTGAGCTGCTGTGTTTTGCCAGACGGGCCACTTGGTGCTACTGACAACTTGAAATCATGCTTCAAGCTCAGATGTTAGAAGAAAAGCCGTCAGGCTCCTGTGACACTGTCTCTCTGGTTATTATATGGTCTTATCTTTCTTTTAGGACTCCTCTAATGATGGCCTGCACCAGGCAAAACCTGGAGGTGATCAAAGCTCTGGTGGAGCATGGAGCCAACCCGCTGCTGAAGAACAAGGATGGCTGGAATTGCTTCCACATCGCGAGCCGGGAGGGCCATCCCCAGGTCATCCAGTACCTGCTGGCCGTGTCCCCAGGCAGCTGGGCCACAGAGAGCACGATAAAGAGAACACCTCTGCACACAGCAGGTAAAGAGGGTCCTGTTGCCACCAGATGGGTTGGAAGAGAAGAGTGGGCTGTGGCAGTGGTGGAGAACAGAAAGAGGCTGTTGTTTCAGCTCACTTTTAGTTTGGAGAAGCAAAACGTGACCTATCTTGATACAAAAGCACAGGGAAACAGTTAAATAGGAAGTTATTGAAATGAAATGAAATGAAATGAAATGAAATGAGGCTGGTGGTGGGCACTAGTGGGAGCTCACCTCTCTGGACTTCAGTTTGCTCACAGTGCTCTGCTGCAACTTTGCAGGGTTTCAGCTCAGGACAGACACTCATTCTAGTTGCTTTCTGATAAATAAACAGCAAGAATTAGGCTTAATATTTCTTAATGATATGCTGAAGACGCAGCTTGTGAGACTGGAGGGTCGTCAGTTCCCATTAGCTTGGATTTTCCCTGTGCTTAAAGCGTGTTTTTGTGGTGTCATGTTCTCTTGGGAGTCGTGGAGCACTTGTGATCCCCCGCTGACTCTGACCTCCTTGGACTAGGGTGTTCATCTCCATGTCTGCCTCCCTCTGGCAGATATGTCCGACCTCCCACA